CCTGCTGAGTTCCAGACTCTTCATTGAACCCCATGAGCTTTTGTCCCGAGTTTGTCACAAGTGCATTGAACAGCAGCGGCTGGATGACCCTGTGCTGGACAAGGTTAGTTTATCTTTACAGCAGAAGAATGTGAAGTATTTTCTGTGGGCAGAGAATTCTGGTGTGTGTCCTTTGCCTCCCTTTCGACTGAATGAAGCTTTCTCATAAATGGTGACGGTTGCTGCTGAGATCCTGACATTGAGGTATCGTGGTATCTGTGTCCAAGAGCAGTGCTCCAGGCAGTAGTCACTTCAAATCCTCCTCTAATTTTCCCTTTCCCCTGTCTCAGTCTTCCCAGGTGACTTTCCTTCTTAACTTCTTTAAGGCTCTGATGAAGCCTGCGGGATGCAAGGAGGTAGGACATAAACCTCACACGCTGTCAATTGCAGCTGTCAACACACCACTCTTCTCTTTCCTGTTTTTACTTAATGTGTCTGCCCTTTTGCTTTCTTGCTTCTGGTACAGTAATATTTCCTCTTGGCCTTACCTGTCACTTTGGATGCTACCTAACAGCACACAGCTTCCCATTAACCTCCCACTGCCAGATCCCCCTCCTGGCCGTGCTGCAGAGCGGTGCTGGCTGGCACCCCAGAGGTGAGCTGGGACAAGGTAACAGAATGAGAAAATCCAAGCAGTTTCTGCCTCAGCATTCCTCCTGCTTTGCCCTGGGGACTGAGCAGACTGATACAGTGTGTAACAACACATGTGCATCCTCTGGCAGTCCCACAGATGCTACAGTGGAGATGGATCCTGCTACATTCCAAACAAGCTGTGCTATTGATGGAGACCTACCCAGTGCATTACCTGGAGCAGGAGGTGCATCTTCAGTGCAGTGGAGGGAAGAAGAGTGTGCATTAGCTGTAACTGTCTAAAAATCCCCAAATTCTGGAACAGTTCTGAAGATCAGCCTTTCCAGCTTTAGAACAGGTTTTTTTGGCATCAAATACTGAATCACCACCATCTGAACACGTGCTTGTTTTTGCCCAGGCAGCTGGTTGCGTGAGTAAGAGGAGCTCTGCCCTCGCTATGGAGAACAACCTGCCAAGCTACATAGAAATATGATACTCAGGTTGCCCAAACAGTCTTTGTTAATAGAAATATTTGCATGAGGTGCAGCACCCAAAACAATTTTTCTGAGTTGTGATGGGCTCTGCTCTCCAATGCTCTGGCAGATGCAAATTTAGGAGGTTTAACATGTGAGCACTGCAACGTTTTGCTGCTCATTACACTTTGCAAGAAATGAGAAACACTATCTTAATACCAAGATCTCCTAATCTGCCTGAGGTGAGTCTGCAGTTTGGACTACCTTGTAGGAAGGCAGAGGTGGTGGGACACAGCTGATTTTATGTTCCTCAGAAATGGGCTGACTTTGAAACTTTGCAGACAAGTGACCCCTTATCCCCTGAGTTGTGTCCTGTGACTTGCACAAAGTCCTCTCCTTCAGTTGGTAACAGCAGTGTACACACCGCTGGAGCGAATGTCTCCCCAGACCTTTGTAGTTTCCAAGAAAGCTTTCCCTTCAGCAGCCACCTGCTGGTCTTTGTGGTGAGCTTAACGCTGGCTGACAGCAGCTATTCTTAGAGATGTGGTTCATTGAAACCTGTTGTTGGTGGACAGCTGAAATACGCATTTTAACCCCCTTGGTTGAAAAGCAGAGAGCTTTTGGAGCTCAAGAGTATAATTTTTCTGATTACAGGGTATGCTTTAGCTGCAGTACGTAGGCTGCAGAAGAAGGCTCTTTGTTTTGGTCTGTGTTTTCTGTAAATAAAAATGCAGTTTGTTGTTTAACACAATTTCCTTCCCACGTGTTCTTGGATAACGGAGGATGGAGCTTTGGAAACAGCCATGCTGTCCATTGTTGGAGATAATACTAATGCACCAGCTGTACTGTTCCCCACATTTCCTTCCTAGCTCCACATCTTCTTGACTATTCCCACTGCTGCATCCTCAATTAAATCTACATCAAAAGTAAAGTGGGCATCAGCTGTGTGCTATGTGAGTGGGTGTCCTCTTATCATGACCTTCAGCTCATGTGGGAAGAGAGCAACATTATCAGTAGGCCAGGTAAAATTACCGAAGTGCTGGTGTTTCATCCGTTGTTTCTTCCTCATGTTACATCCCCCAGTGTTGGCTAAGCAGTTTTTTCATCCAGCCAGAGAGGAAAGGATTCACCTCTTTGTTGATCAAGGAATGTGTTGCAATCAATTGTTCAGGAGAGGATGAAAACATAGGAGGGTTGTGAGGACAAAAAGGAAGAACATGTAGTTCAAATGAGCAAAGAGGCCAGATGTTTTAAAAAAAGGTATGAATGCTGCATCAACAAAATGTCCATCCAACCATAAACTGGCCAACTGCACATGCAGAATATTTAAATATGCTTGTAAAACAGTCAGTTTTGCATGCATAGAAGTACTGGTATATTTTGCCAAAACATATAACTGGTGCACCACACCACTTGCTTGCATATGTGGAGATGTTGCAGGTGCAACCATCAGTTCCTTCTTTGAAAATCCAGCCCCACTTTCATTGAGATACATATTTGAGTAATGAGTAAACGCATTTCAATCCCTTTTCCTTATTCTGGTTTCCATTTCAGGCACGGATCAGAAAATTTGGGCCCAAAATCTTACAGTTGCTGA